CCTGGGAGGGCAAAGACGACCTTTCTCTGCGCGCAGCTGGGAGGGTGAGCTGATGAGTATCTTTCCCCAGGGGCTGAGGCATGGCGAGAAAGGCAGGGAGGGAGAGAGCCAGGGCGAATCCCGGGCTCTGCGTCTGCGAGGCAGCAAGCCAGGAAGCAGCTCAAGGGTGGAGAAATGCAATGACTTAGCAGCAGATCGAAGGGAGGGAGCTATGCAGGGGGGTGGCAGGAGCTGCAGCTTTCGCTCGATGGGCTTGCTGGAGAAGGGTGACAGGTCGGGAGAGATCAGTGAGTCGATTCTCCCCTCCTTGAATACAGTTACAGGATTATGAGTGACGGGGTGAAATTACAGAGGGGAAGCTGTAACCTGAACGTTGCTGGCAGCTTCCTGAAGTTGAGACTGTGCTGAGGGTGGAGGTAGCTCCTCAAAGGAAGCAGCAGTGGGAAGAGCCTGTTCCTGGAGGCATTTGTAGCTGCTGTACCCAAAGCTCACTGCTGGGGACGGTCACCCCGGGCTGCGTCGGTGAGCTTTTCCACTTCTGCCCCTTTACAGCAGAGGACAGTGGAGGAAGATGTTGGCCTTGAAGCTGGGGGGCTGAGCTGGGCGCTGTGCTGCGTGCCGCCTGCGTGACCGCGGGGCATCGCTTCCCTGGCTCTGTGCCGCTGCGGGGCTGTGCGGCCCCAGAGCGTGCTGGCACCGCTGCACAGCTTTGTCTGCCTGGCACGGGCACCGGTAGCAGAGAGACCCGGCTGTGCTGACCCTGTCTGCTTCGCTGCCTAAAGCCCATGGCTTCCCACGGTTTTGTCCATGAAGATGGTGGCTTAAGCTGCCTCACAGATGCTTTTCTGCACTGCAGGTCCATGCAGGGGGCAGGGGTGCCGTGGGGCAAACATGGTTCCATCCGTTCCGGGGAGAAGGGATCTTGGTGTCCCACAGGAGTGTCAGGGTAGGGCAAAATTAATACTTTAAAGATAGTGAAGCAGTCCAGCAGTGCAGGAGAGGGGACGGGGTATGCACCATGGAGCAATGGCTGAGCTTTCGGAGGAGCTGTGAACAGCAGGGGCTGGGGGACGACACAGTGTGTCAGCATTCCTTATGGCCATCATCATCCCTGTGAGGGGACCTTGTTCCTGTGCTGCCAGGTCATGATGCTCAATAACTGTCACCGCCTTCCCTGCTTTGTTTCCTGGAGGATCGTGAAGATGTCCAGCCCCAATCTGAACATTGTGACCCTGCTGGGCAGTGGCTTGACTTACACTAGTGCTTACCTCTTTGGGATTCAGGAGCAGAGCCTGCCGTCCGGAGACTCGGTGGAAAAGCTTATTCAGGTGAGCAGGGGGTTTGCTGGGACGAGTGCCTTCAGGCATGCACATGCGTGTATGTCCATGCATGTTTGCACGTGCTCTCCCTCTTCGCTGAAGTCTGTCACCACCTCGGTGCTGGGCACACTCGGCCGGGCTGTGGTTTCCACGCACACAAAATGCAGCCAGATGCTTTCTGTCTGAACAGGCTTCGCGGTTTGTGCAGACCACAGCCACTCCAGGGGGGACGCACGGCAGGTCCCTGGGGAGAGGGCAGCCTCAGGCAGGCAGCCTGGTGGGCTTGGGGAGGTGCAGTAGGGAGAGGGGAGCCTAAAGGGAGATGGGACCCTCCGCACAGCCACTGCCCGGCGCGGCAGAGGTGCCGTGAGGTTGCAGGCGAGTTTTTTGGCTGCGAAGCAGATCTTTGTCAAAACGCTGACCTGTGTGACGAACCCCCGTGTCCTGACCTGGGGCAGCCGCCCTGCCAGACCGGGGACTGGGCATGCACCCAGGTGGGAGAGTGGGACATGGGAGAGAGCACACCCTGCTGTCCTGGTCAGCCGCCGGGCTGAGGGCACGGAAGTGCCAGCGAGTGATTTATTGGTGCTGGGACCCTCCATGCCCCTGCCGCTTGCAAGCTGCCTGGCTCTCCCTGCCTGCTCCTCCGACAAGAGCCTCTTGGGGTGGGGAGGAAAAGGCAGGCAGCAGGCAAGCCTGCAGAGGAGTGCGTGCCTTTTTTAATTTATTTCACTCTGTGGTCAGCTTTCTAGTATCCGATATGACCCTCCAGAAGCCAGAAGGCCATAGGCACATCCCCACATCCCCACCCGTCTTTGCTGCATCCCCAGGCGGGAGGGTGCGGGGTGTCCCTGCAAACCCCACGGGTGCCCCTTCAGCCCCCTCGCTCTGCCCCCCGGCAGGTGCGGCTCTGCCTGCTGTGCGTGGGGACCTCCCTGGTGTTTGGCCCCGTCCTGGGGAAAAGCTGGCGACTCTACAAGGTGTTCACCCAGCGGGTGCCGGACAAGCGAGTGGTGAGTACACAGCACCCAGGGCGGGGGAGAAAACTCCCTGAGGGGGGCAAACACCAGCAAGTCCCAAACCGGTGCGGGATAGTAGATAAAACCAGCACATGACAGTGATGGGTGCCACAGTCACAGGTCTGGTTTCACATCTAGCTGGGCACGGGCTGCTCATTTGTTCCTGCGCAATGAGGCAGGAGCTTTTCCACTCCACAGGCAAGCAGGTGCCCTGCCAGGCTGCCTGTTCCCCTGTCTTGTTCTCATTTTACATCGGCCACGTGCCTTCATTACGCTACACACCGGTGTTTGTGTCAGGTCTGGGCTAATTATTTTTGTGGGATGAAAATAAACCAGGTATCCTCAAGGGTGTCTGATGTAGGGCCATCCCTGGATGCATCTGATCTCGTCTTGAAGGGAGGGAGGGAGTGCTGGGTACTCCTCTGCAGCACTGAAGGAAGGGGATACAGCAGCTGGGAGGGAAATGGGAGATGCCTCCATGAATTTGTGCATGTAACAGTGCACTTACGGCTTTCAGTGGCCACCTTCCAATGGTGAAAAAAGTAGGTCTTGGATGAAAGGTGAGATGAGAGGGTTTGCAGGGGAACCGTGCACCAGCAAGGACTCCCATTCCTGAGGCGCCGGGATCTGTGTTCAACTTGCAAAATGATAATCGTACCAGCTTTTTTTCCCCACCCTTTTTGTCTCTGCTTGTGATAGGGGCATAAGGGGTGATACTCTTGTTTTGGAAGGGCTGTTTTCTGTCATAGCATGTAACAGCTAGCCACTCTGTTGGGGAGGGTTTATACCTGGCCCCAAGCCTGATTAGGTCTCCAAGAGTTTGGGAGCTGGAGACAGAGATCCTGTGGCCGACTCGGATGTAGGTGAGCCACGGGACTCCGCTCTGGGGGAAGTATTAGGATGGACATGTCCCTTGGAAGAAATAACCAGAAAGAGACCCAAGGCGATGGAGGCTGCTGGTGTCCATTTCCCCCCATGGTAATGCTTACTTCTTGCGTGTTTGCAGATTATCAAAGACCTCCAGTTGCTGGCGATGGTGGCGGTGTTGGTGCTGGCGGACGCCATGTTGCTCTTGACGTGGGTATTTTCTGATCCAGTCCAGTGTTTCCGAAGCCTCAGCGTCTCACTGCGGGTAAAGGGATGAGGAGGGGCAGTGGAGGGTTGTGCCGTGTCCTGTCTGATCTCTGTGGATAAAGTTGGTGGATGGTTAGGTGGTTGAAAGTGCTGTTTAAAAAAAAAAACAGAAAGAAAAACAAGCCAGAAAGTCTTCTGGGTGCTCTGGGTTGGGTTTATGTCTGGTCTATTACAGAGATGAGGGTCTGCTGCAAGATTTCCAGGTCTGTGTAGGTCACCTTGGCGACACAGGAGAGGTATCTGCAGATGCTTTAAAGAAGGATTTAACCAGCCCTGTTGGCAGCAGAGTGCCAAAATCTTCCTCGCTTTAACCCTCTGCCTCTGGCAGCACCATCTTTGGCCTTTCCTTCTAGGAATTTACAGAGGAGACCTGCTCAGATGTGTACATCTGTCTGCCCGTCGGTCCGTGCCTGCTCCCGGGCCGGGGCAGCAGCCTTCACGTCTGCCTTCCCCTTGCCTCCTAGGCGACAGAGAAAGGCATGACCTGCTCAGTCAGCCGGGTGCAGTCCTGCGCATCTCTCTATTCCGATCTTTGGCTCGTTCTCATTTTAGGGTTTAAGGTACGTAGCCGCTTTATTGATTCTAGCATTGTATCCCGCCTCCTCCCAGTCTCACAGCCTAAATTGTTAAGCAGCATTCGTAGTTTTGCTGCCCTCCCAAGCAACAGGCCAACTGCAGATTCTGGCTACTCCTGTTCGTCTTGAAAGCCCTCCCACATCCAGTCCTTCCCATCTTGGTGTTTTCTTGCATTCCCTGGTAAAAGCCCTGTTAGCCACTTTTTCCCTGCCTCACCATCTCTTTTACGTACACCGTGCACATACTGTCTCTCTAGTTCTCTCCCTGCAACCCCCCACACCCGATCTATATCTTTTCTTAATACTTGTGTCTTACTGTTTTCTGAAGCACACTTTTGCCATAAAGCCTCAGATGACCGTGTACTCGCTATGTGGCCCAGCCCCTGAGTCCTCTGACTCCAAATCAAGGAGCTGCTGATGACAAGTGCTTGGTGCATATCTTTACAGGATGCGTATCAGCTTAATTATACCACTGAGGTACACTTTCACTGGTCTAGCTTTGCACGTGGCCCTTCTTATTCCAGAAGGGTTAGTTATACTGATGTAACTATGTAGGTATAATTATCGCTGTAATTATCTGTGGTCTCATGTGTCTCTGGGTTGGCAGAGGCTGGACGCATTTCAGAAAGCTGATGTTGATGAAGCTTGTGAGATCACAGCCTTTCTTTGGGAATGGCTCCATCTCTGTGTGCAGTACAGGCAGTTCCTTTCTGACTCACTGTAATGTAATACTCCTTGACCACTTACCCAAAATCGTAGGAAAAAGAGCAGAAAGAGGCCTCATGACACAGCCAAGTCCTTCTTCCCCCTACACTTAATTTTTTAAGACATTAGTCTAGCCTGTCCTTAAAAGTCCTTTGGTGCCAAGGACTGCAGGTGTTCCCTGGGCTTTCAGTGCTGTGTCTCCACCTCTGATTTTGTCTGCAGTTTGTGTTAGCGTTTAGAGAGGTAATGCTTTTGCCTACAGCTCCTACAAACTGCGCTTTGGAATAAAACATCCCCTTTACCAGTCCCACGTACTCTTCGTTAGCGTTGCGTTGAACCTGACCCTGATACTATCTACCTGCTGGGGGTCATGGAGTTATTTCTTTAATGGTTTCTCTGGAGTTAATCTGGATTTACACTGATGTGGGAGTAGGCTCTATCTCTGTGTGTGCTTAGCACTTGTTATCTTCCACTGCGTTGATGTGCTTAGCCCTTTGTGGAGCCACTCAGTGTATTATCCTGGTTTTACTGGCACAGAGCAATGAGCAGAAATGACTGGCCAAGGACATGCCTGGAATTAGGAGCAAAGTCCTCTGCTCATAAAACAAACAAAAAACTTAGTCCTGTGCTTACTGAAAGTCCTAGTTTGGCAGAGGGCAGTCTGTGTCCCAGATAGACTATATCAGTTTTAAATGGGACTTCGGTGCTGGTTTTTTCTCTTGCTCGGGGATTAGGAGTTGGCTTGCCTTTGGGCTGTGCATTTGGAGGTGCCCCGTGGTGAATGTGGCTGTGATCCAGTGCAGATCCTACAAAGCAGGGTCGGGCAGCAACCTAATTCTCAGCGAGGCAGATATCACTGTTACACCCCCTCCTTGAAAATTCGTGGTGCTCTGAAGTTGGGAGTCTCACCGAAGACCGTGGACGTGAACCTCTCTTGCCTGTAAGAGTGTCCCTCCAGACCCTAACCCTGGCAGTGGCTGCTGCTGTCATCAAGCAACCACAGCACGGAAGGGTCCAGAAGGGTCTACAGAACATCTGTACCACAGGTCACAAAGCACTTCTTGATGCCCAGATGACAGATTAATGACAGATTAATGTCTCTTAGTAAGAGGCCGACAGTGGGACTTACTGGGCAACACAGAAATAATGTAGGAGTCATGTTCCCTGTATTCCGGGTCCTTGCAGGAGCAGGGATTTAGTTAGATTCCATTTCCAAATGACCCTGAAGGCAGACCATTCCCTGCACTACAAAGGCGGGCAAAAAGTACTGGGTGTTTCCTGCCAGCGTGCCCTGGGGAAGGAGGGGTTCAGCCTGCCGGGTAGCTTTATCCTGAGCACGCTGGGAAGGTGCGCGCGGGCAGCACGGTGAGGAAGCCTGCTCTGAAACAGCTGTCCTGTGCCAGGGGAGGGAGGGCCTCTGGGTGCAGGGCACTTACTTCTCTAGCCCCTTTCGCCCCAGCTAGAGACAGGCAGGACATGGCGGAGAGAAGGGAGAAGAATTGCACCCGGTAGTTTCCTGGATTTCCATTTAAAGAGGCACCGAGTACATCCTCTTCCCTCCAGTCTAAGCCTCCGCTTCTTCTGCCTTGCTTTTTCCTTCTGAACGTCCTTCTGAGTCTCCTTCCTGCTCCTTCAGAGGTAGGTCGTTGCGCCTTGATGGCACCCCACCGCCATGTCCCCGCAAGGACCTCCATCTCGTGTCTGTCCGTCTTTGCTGCTCCTGCTCCCTGATGCCCAAGGGCAGGTTTTCACGGCTTGCCTCTCCTGGCCATGCCCTGCTCCATGGCGTCGCCTGACGACCGGACCCTCAGCTCCCCACACCCCTCCGTCAGGACCCCCACGGCCCGCCGGCACCTTTGCTCCTGCCCTGTCTCCCCAGCCCTGCTCTGGACCTGCAGCAGTGTGCCGGGTGTTTGCTGTGGCATCACCACCACGTGCTGGAGGTCTGCATTATAGATCAAAGAGCATTAATTAGGATTGTGCTAAGTGTATCAGAGCTCACTGGGCTTGGTGCGAGGTGGGGGCTAACACCATCAGGCTGTAATTTTCCACACTCTGGAAACGTCTTCTTTTCTGCTTCCAGAGTATCCTTCTGCTGTACGGGACCTACTTGGCCGGTCTGACCGACAATGTCAGCTCCCCACCAGTCAACCAGTCCTTGACGCTCATCGTCGGGGTCAACCTCGTTTTCCTGGCTGCCGGCACCATCTGCTTAGTTCACCGTTTCTTCCGTGCTTGGCACAACTTGCTGTTTGGCTTTACCTCTGGAGGCATCTTCGTGTGTACAACTACGATCAACTGCTTCATCTTTGTCCCACAGGTACGCTGCCACCTCTGTCCTGCCCACCTGGTGGGAAATGGACACATTTTTGGAGCTGAACAACAGGAGCTGTGTGGGCCAAGCACTTACTTTCCTGCTTCTTTTCCCAAATGTTTGGACTTGCTTGCATAGCTCATCCTCCAAGCCCCAATGGCTCTGCTTCCCCAAGCAGGTCCCCCGAGTCCCCAAGGAGGGCAGGCACATTGCAGAGCTGTTCAGAAACCCTCCTTCAAGAGGGTGCTACAGGTGACAGCCACACAGAGGGCTGCCCTCCTCCTCCTCCTTCATGTGGGTGGTGAGATCGGTCCTTCGTGCAGTTCTCGTCTCCTCATACCCCATGTGCCTGCTCCTGATGAGGGTTCCTGCCCATGGCAGGGATGGAGCTGGGTTCTGGCCATCCAGATGCCCTCGCCAGGCTCAGAGGCTGCTTGGCTGCTGGTGGTTCCCAGGGGAGGCTGTCTTCCTCTGCGCTCTTGGAGAAGGAAGCTGGGCTTTGCTGCAAGTGAGGGGGAGGATGCAGAGATGTTTGAAGGAAGCGTTTTGTGGCGAGGAGAGGCTCTTCTGCTTCCTGTGTCCTCCAGGAGCAAGCTGATGTGCCTAGCCACGATGTTAGTGGGAAAAACGCTCCCATTGTTACAGGGAGAGGAAACAGTTGTTTACTCAGTTTAATGTTTGGAGGGATGTTTGGGCTCAAGGAAATGCCGTGAGAAAGGGAGGAAGAGGTAAAGCTGAAGAAAGAGCACATCTGTGCAAGAGAGGGCTCGGGGGATCTCACCAATGTGCTGATGGGAGTGGACTAGGGAGGGGGGAGCCAGGTTCTTCTCAGAGGTGGCCACTGACAGGACCAGGGACAATGGGCACAAACCAAAACACAGGAAATTCTATTTAAGCATCAGAAAACGGGTTTGTTTTTTTTTCTGTGAAAGTTGTAAAACACTGGAGCAGGTTGCCCAGAGAGGTTGTGGAGTAGCTGTCCTTTGAGATGTTCAAGACCCAGCTGGACACGGTCCTTGGCAGCCTGCTCCAGCTGACCTTACTTGAGCAGGGTGGCTGGACTAGATGGTTTCCAGAGGTCCCCTCCTACCTCAGTTGACGCAGTGTAACTGGAGAGCCCCAACCCGCTAAACAAGCAGCCCTGGGGAGCAGGATCCAAACCTCCTCTGACAAGCACCAAGCCTGCTGGCGATGCTCTGCCAAGCGCGAGGTCTCCCAGAGTGAGTGCGGAGGAGCTGACGAACCGCACTTGCACTCTGCCTGTACCATTTTTCTACTGTAGCCTGGGGGCCTTGAACATTTTATTTAACTTGGATCTTTTAATTCATCAACTTGTTTTCTTTAATGGGCTTGCTCTTCTATTGCTCATCCGAGATCGATCAGCAGCTGGAGCTGGGCTGCACAAGGCTTCCACGCATACAGTAGATGAGAAAACAGACACTAAGCGTTGCTGGTTTTCAGCTCGTCACCGGTGATACGGGATAAGGAGGCGTGTGTGACACTGTCTTTGTCTGTCATAGAGTTAGGGAGGGGGGAGGAGAGGGAGGGGGCTTTTACGGCATGTTTAGAGGCAGGGGGGTGGGCAGGCACTGACCCTCTCTGGGTTAAAAGCTGGAGCCAGGGACAGGGTAGGGCCCAGGCGGGTGGGAGGCTCCAAGTGACACTGCAGCCCGATGACGCCCGCTTCTACCCCCCAGCTCAAGCAGTGGAAAGCCTTTGAAGAAGAAAGCCAAACCGTGAGCCACATGGCAAAATATTTCACCAGCCCGAGCAGGAGCTGCCGCTCGGTGTACAGCGAGGAGCAGCTCTACCAGCTGATGGGGGAGAAAAACTCCATGAAGCAGCTGCTCACCGAGGTACGGGCTCTGCCGGCCCTGCTCATCCGTGCCAGCTTCTCCCCTTGCCTTTTGTGGGCCAAAGGCTTTACAGGGTGGGAAGCCTTTCCTTACAGCCCGGTCCTCACGGGTGCTCCTGCTCCGACGGGAAGAGCTGCTGTGTTTTGTCGCATCACTCTGCACCCCAAAGTGCCAAAATCTAGGCATGATCCAGTGGGTTTCCAAAAAACACGGAGGGAGAAGAGCCGGAGAGTCTGGTTCCCACAGCCCAGTCAAACACGGTTAATTTAGAGGGGATATGCCCTCTCCTGGGAAAGCCCCCAGCCTCCTGCTCCCTCACCCCCACTGCATGGGTGGGAGCACCCCAGCTGGGAACTCTGCACCCCAAAGTGCCAAAATCTAGGCATGATCCAGTGGGTTTCCAAAAAACACGGAGGGAGAAGAGCCGGAGAGTCTGGTTCCCACAGCCCAGTCAAACACGGTTAATTTAGAGGGGATATGCCCTCTCCTGGGAAAGCCCCCAGCCTCCTGCTCCCTCACCCCCACTGCATGGGTGGGAGCACCCCAGCTGGGAGAGCCGCCTGCCCCCGTGCCCCCCTTCCCGCCCCCACGTCTGGGGGGGCTCTGGGATGCTGCGGGG